CCACAACACACAACCACAAACACACAACCACAAACACACAACCACAACACATAATCACAAAGACACAACCACAACCACAATCACAACCACAACTACAAGCACACAATTACAACCACTACCAGTACCACAAAAACAATCACACACACAGCCACAAACACAATCGCAAGCACACAGCCACAAACACAGCTGCAAACACATCCGCAAACACACAATCACAAACACACAGCCACAAACACACAATCACAAACACAACCACAACCACAACACAGCACGCAACCACAACCACAACCACAACACACAACCACAGCACACAACCCCAGGACCCACAAGCAAAACTACAATACTCACGACCATGGCAACATGCTCCTCACTATGGCAGCCTATGGCATCAAGACAAACGATTGAAATGTCATGGTGGGGATCACTCGAAGTACAGTAGAGTAATTTTGAGTTTGCGCATGGTTGTTTTTGGTAATCTATCGTTTGTGGTCCTCCAAAATGATCTTTGTGGAGTTCCAGAGAGGGGAAGACCATTTCTTTTTGATCTTTCATGATCTTCCCAGTGAACCGTTCCACCTTTTGTTGTCCTGCTGTGCATGTGAAACATTGGCCTCGGAGGTCCGCGCCAAGCGCCAAGCGTGCCAAAAAGAACGACGATCCACTGAGCAGCGCGCACCATGGCTTTCAAACATGGGGTTCCCATGTTTGGGCACCTGTGTTTTGCACGTGGCATTTGTTGGGATGAACCGATTTGTTCACCTGTGGCTCCGTCGAAAGGAAAGCCCAGGATCCCAGCCTGCCGGGAGACTAGGGAACCGATTTGTCGATACAAATCCATGCAGGAAATTGGGTTGGGTGGATTGGTTGAGAAAAAATGGCAAGAGAGACAACAACACGGGGTTTACAGTTTTCTGTCGATGCAGCCAGAACTACCAAGGCTCGATGCAGCTCTTGCTGCTGCCATGATGGCGTAAACAGCCAATGGCATTGCCCAGATTGGCCAGTTGCTGCAACTCTGAAGATCCTAGATTGATCGTGCAACACCTCGTGCTAGTGACAGTGCAATGTACAGTACAAGCAAATGCTAGCCAAAAGGACCGCAAAGTTGTTCGGTTCTTCTGCATGTTTCAGTGTGGCAGTTCAGGACACGCTCATCTTTGTTTTGCCTGCAAGGCAAAATGATTGAGAGTTGCTGTTCTGGCATCCATGTTGCAGCTCAAGCACTCAAGAACTCGAACGAAGCATCACCAACACATAACCACTTTCTGCAGGCCCCTTTCGTTATGAGAGCTAGGAAGTCTCACGTTGTGACTTTCCCGCAGCAGAAGGTACCAGTGAACGTTTGGTTTGGTGATTGATCTTCTGATTTCTCGGCCAGAATGGACGTTTGATGTTAGAATATTTTTAAAGTCCTGTCAGAGGATTGGACCGAGGTTCCTCAGCTTCCAAACGTCTTTCCATGGCTGAAAAGGGCCATGGGAAAGGCCGGCCGCACAGAGGGCTATGGCAACGATGCTTTGCAAGCAGAGGCAAGGCTTGACGCAGATGCCCATGGGTATGGTATGGGTATGGTCCTGCAGTCCCAACCGGGGAATTGTTGTTTACGGGCTTACGGCTTACGCTCGAAAGCTGGCCAGTGGCCCACAACCGGGGAGGGGGAAAGAGGACGGAAGGGAAAGGGAGAGGGGAGGGGCGGTTGTTATTGTTGCTGCTGCTTTTTGTTTGTTTGTTTGTTTTGTTTTTTTATATTGTTAGATGCAAAAAAAAACATAAAAAGCAATAACAGTAACACCACCCAACATAATAGTTGTCACATGTTGTAACTTTGCAACTTCAAGGGGACAAGGTTAGGCATACGGTTGAAGGTTTGGGGGAATGTTGTCGCTTCGTAATTAGTAGCTGGACTTGTTGGACTTGACTTGTTTCACTCATGTCTGGTTGGGCTCGTCTTTTGTGTTTTTGAGGTGTTGCTCTGGGGGGGTCACAAGAGAACATCGGGGCTGCAGACAACATTGGGGCTGCAGTTTTTGTTTGGAGGAGAGGGTAAGAGACAAAGAGCGAAGATGTGTGTTGACGGCTGACGGGCTGCAGTTTTTGGTTGTGCCATGTTGTGCCTTCTTGTTGTTGTGGTTGTTGTGGTGGTGGGTCGTGGTTGTGGGTGTCAGGCCAGGATGGGCTTTGCTGACCCATCTTGGAGCCATGTTGGCCCATCATCTTGGGGCCATGTTGCACTGCTTGGGCCATTTTGGGGCTATGTTGCACTGCTGCGCGTGCACTCAAGACAAAAGATTTGAGCCGACGGTGGCAGCAGGAACTTTGAAAAGGGAACTTGACGTGGAGATATCTCGAAACAATCAGTGCGCACCCTGAATGGCGCGAGCAACGCTCTGGTTGTGGCGCTGCTGGGACCAGCAAAAGCCCTGGACCAAAGTATTGTTGTGGGCAGGTGAAGATTGGAGAACAGTACATATTGTATCATATTGTCAGGTTTCCATATTGCGAAGGGTGTCCACAATACCGTGAGTCTCGTATATGAGCAACGCACTACAAAACGTAATGTTTGGTGAGTTTTTGGAGTGTGTAAGGTAATTTGAATGACGTCAGATTGAACGCGCCAATAACATACATTTGCCAGAGTCGTGTTGTTGTTGTTGTTGTTTTGTTTTTTTAGACCAGGCATATGGACACCTTCATCAATGTTGTTAATTTGAGAATAGATTTATTTGCCAATTGTTTTACTATACTGCAATGCTTCCATCCACCTCAGCCGGCCTGGTTTTGTCAATAATCTGAGTGTTGTGTACGTTCGTCAAGAATGCATTCAGGTAGCACGACTACAGCAGGAGTGCCAGCCTCAGCAGGGTGGTAGTTTGACAATACCCTTCTGGAAATCTTTGGTTTTATGATCAGTCATGATTCCATGATGATGCATGGCCAAATATATATACTCCGAAACGTTGATAATTGTTACTAAAAGACCGTTTGGGGGTGTTGGGATTCCTCTTCCCGGAGATTGGCAACGGGATGCAAAAAGACCTGACGACCAATCATGTCCGGACGCTAGACTCAAAGATGGCGGAACCCATCATAAAGATTCATAAAGGGTACTGGACTGCAAGGCTACTTGAAGCCAATCGTCGAAACTCCCAGCTACTGGCCAAAGCTGTTGCCTCAGATTGGTTGCGGATCCACGCCCAATTGTGGGGTTGGATGAAGGGTGGTGAATACCTTGGGGATTGTGATCACCTTTTGGGTGTGAGGGTAGGGGGCACAGGGTTTCGAGCCACATATGAGCAACCACATTTATTTAGGCTTTACTAAAGTGCCCAGCACGCTCTATTTGCTTCTCTATCATCAGTATTCGCTTGTGAACGAGATAGGGCCCCCACACAAACGAGATACTTTTGCTTGATGACACTCAAGTGGTCTGAACGATATAGTGTGATTTGCTACTAAAGTAGTCTGAACAAGATACTGTGACATGACCTCCTACTTTAGTAGTCTAAACGAGATGGGGCCCCCACATAATAGATAGTGTATTTGAGTTTAGTACCAAATAAATGCCACCACACATATGATCACACATTGGGTTTGTGAGATCAAAGTCAAATGAGTGATCCGACGCAATGGACCAAATACAAACCACAACTGAGGCAACGTTTTACATTTTAGAGCTCCAATGAATATCAGTTGATGTCAGAGTCAAAAAGGTGTGTCAATATTTGGGAAAGATTTGGAACTTGTTTTTTGTCATCAGATACAGTAACTGTGATTTGTATTGAACCATTCTTATACAATCACTGGCCATAAAAGTAATCTACCGAGAAGTGATTGTTCCATGACGCCAACAACAAATCTACGATAGACATGTGTGTGGATTTAATGAGTGAGCTAGTATTGCCAATATTGCGTCTAAATTCGAAGTAAATGCGTCTCGGGGCGAAAGACGCAGGTTGATATGGTTGATGGGTTCGGGGTATAGGCATAGGTTATAAGGTGAAAACCACCCGGAGAACATCGTTCTCCTCATGTGTTCTTTTTAAACAGGGTTGGGGCCTTGATCCGCTGGTTGGGGCCTTCTGTCCCAATAGCAATGTCCGGATGGATGAGCGCCCAAGGTTGCACAGCTGCAGGAGGAGGCTGTGTTTGGCTATACTTGCTTGCCACTATTTATTGCACCCAAAAGATGTGCCTGGATAGGACAGGAATGGACAGGAGATGCAATGACTGTCTTGCCATAGAATTTATGGTACAAACTGCTTGCCAATGATGAATGGAACGCGTGTCAGCACCCGTTGAGTTCGAAGAGTGGTTTGTGTTTATTTCGTCCTGTTCATTTCGTCCTGTTCACAAGACCACGCACATTCTGAGGTATTCAGGAAGTCCATCTCTGTCATACAGTCCATCTAGATCCGATATCGTGTGCAATTGCGCAGTAGTATTTTTATATCTTTCAGCTCTTCACAGATTCACACAGGTCACGGTGGCCAAGATGCTTGGAATGCAACAAGCTGGCGGGTGTTATCAGCATGGCATGCTTCGACAACTGTGAGCACCTCCAAGTGAGCTTTTTTGATGCCGAGTTTCGGTTTCGCAAGCTTTTGGAAATTCACTGTTTTTGAGAGTGAGCAATCTTGGTAAATGCAGGTTTGGTGTGCATGGCCCAAGATCTCTGCAACCAGCACCAAGTGTTCGGAGGAACTTAATAGGCTCTTGTGTGGCAGACACATATAGCATGGCACTATATGGTAGTGTGCTGCAGGCAACCAAGTGCTGCAAGCTCCCGTGTGTTGTGCCTATCCTCAATAAAAATGACCACCATTCAGGAAGATGGTTGACCACGAGCCGGATGAGAAGGACCCACTGCCAAGTCTGCCAGACGTTGTTTCATTGCTAGGCCTTCCACAGTGCGATTGAAGAGTCTTGTCCACAGGATAAAGATTGATAAAGACCAGCAGGGTGTAGTGTTCCGTATTTTTGACCTGCCCAGATAGGGTTTAGACTGGCTTTCATCCTACTACAGGAGAGCGCCTTGAGTGACCGTGATACATCGATCCCATTGACCAGCACGCACCATTACTGGCATGGCACACCATCCCTCACCACGACTTCTGTCAGACCGCATAGGGTTCAGCACGACCTGTTCCAAGGACATGACTAAGGTGACTGCCATGGATGGAAGCATCATGACCACCTTTTTGCATATGTACCATACCACTTGAGATGGACACTCAGAGGGCCAGTCGCATTGGCATTTCGGCTCCAGTGATATGTTCTAAGTCGCAGGCTCCCCCCGGAGGCTCCATGGCCTCCAGGTTTCAACGGCGAGACTCACCTGCTTCAGGCGTTGGGCTTGCGTTCGGTTTTTGAATCCTTGGAGCGGTTTGGCAGTGAACTAGGGCGTGCTGGCAATGTTTCACCGAATTGTTTGTCGAGGTTTCTTGGAGGAATACAGCATCCCCTTGTGTTTGGGTGCATTTCAGGATACTAACGCATCCATCGGTCACGAATAAATGATTTCAACTAATAGTTGCATATTACTATTTTGGCGTTTGAGACTTGACCATTCGTTCAGGCGATGTGCACCAGCAGGAGTGCTGCTTTGATGAGGATCGTGAGGCGCAAGGCAGGACAAACGGACGTGCTTTTTCAAGAGATTGCACGGGGCGTTCCGGGATAATATATATATATATTATTCTGTGTACATATACATATATATATATGTATTCGAAAGCATATATATATATATGAATTGCCTTCAAAGTCTGAACATGCGCGATGATTACGATTGCATAAGAGAGTCGCATTCATATGCGGGCATGCCGCACATAGTAAATGTTCACCGTATTTAACTGATGCTGTATGTATGTATGTATGTATGTATGTATGTATGTATGTATGTATGT